GGAACAAAACTTCACCGAAACTCAAAAGCTGAGACCGAGCAAGATGACAGGTAATAGTCAAAGACACTAACACAGTGAGACGGGACAACGAGGGAGAAACTCAGGACGTGATGAACTCATACAAATGAAATCTTAACATTCAAAGCTGACAGCAGCGAAAACATCCAACCAGAAAAATGCAACAAGAGCTTCAAAGCTCAAAATGGCTAAAGAACAGAAAATCGTAATCAAGGTCAGAGGTCACACTGTGAGATCTCTGTCCTGGGAGTGAGTTGGCAGAAGAAATCATGCAGTCGAAGCCTGAACAGCAAATAATAAACACATTTCAACAGTCTCTCAGCTTTAAGCTCCACAGACGTCTCAGGTTTCTTAAACGTGCAGGATCTTCGTGCTCTCTTTGATTTCCTTTAACGAGTTCTTGAGCTTCTTTTGACTTTCCAACATGTTCTGTCCTCGCCGTCTGTTTCGGTGAAGGTGACGTTTCCTGTGTGTGCGCCCGTGTGCTGATGTGCTCGTGCATGCTCAGGCTTCTGCACGCTGAGTGGATCCTTCTGGCTGCGTTTGTAATATCGGTGTTCACAGTTCACTCAACAACAAAGGAACAAATGTGTCTGCAGGTCAGAAAGCTGCAGACCAAAGATCGATCGAAGCACCAACCAGGTTTCTTCTTCTGAAGACAAATGAGGTTTATTTGTTACAATGTTACCATATTATAAATGATTGTGAAGAAGCTGCGCCTGGTGTCAAATGGAGATAACTGAGGGGCCTTTCATATGAACTTGTTTTGAGCAGCCACCTATCCCACACGGGGAGCTCTGGGCTTTAGCTTTTAAGTCATCGAGTGGGTGTAAAACTGATCTGGTTGCAGATTTTCACAGAGCTTAAATGTGTTTTTCAGCCCTGCAGATTTGACATCTCAGAAAAGCTGTAAAGATGATTAAAAAGAGGCCAAACCTGAGCCCACCCACGTGGACCTGCAGGGTGCATGAAGGCTTTAAACATACTACAGTGATTGCAGAACATTAAATCAGCTGATTGCGAGGTGGTCATGTGGGAACTTTGACTGAGTTTATACGAAGTGAGGATTTCCCAGCCTGTAGAAATGGGGTTTTCCAGGCTGGAGTAGCAGCGTCAAGTCTGCAGAGTGCTTTGAGTTCATGCACAGAAGCTCCCGGTGTGTACGTCTTCTCTTCTCAGTGACACAATCTCTGACCAAATCTAGTGCGAGAAAATGGGCGAGTCCAAGTTTCAGAGTCCGGAGAATCTTTAATGATAAAGGGTGCCCGGGCTGACTGATAACCCTCTGTGGTACCCTTAGTTCCTGAGTGTTGCTGCTGCTCTATGGCCTCATAGAAACTCTTAATGTCTCTGCTGTGTTTTAACTTGCATTCCCCTGGAGGCAGTACGTATGAGCCAACACTTCCTGTGTGGATGTCACACTATTGAAACCTCAGCTGCAGCCACTTTGGATCATTTAAGCCCAAAAGCAGAAATCTCTTATTTACAAATCCATCCAATCTCTTCCTCGATCAGACATAACACTGACTCGTCGAGGCGTGGACTGTGGGGTGGAGCCTCCGTGGATCCGACTTGTTTGTGCGGCACATCACAGGGGCTCGACTGGACTGCGATCTTTTAAAAATTGGAGTTAACACCTCAAACTTGTTGCTGTGCAGCACAAACCGTCCCTGTTTGTGGAGGAAGGAGGCCGCGACCTTCCTCCATCGCTCTGTGGTCCAGTTCTCATTGTTGGTGCTTTCAGTGGTGGACGGGGGTCGGCCTGGTTAGCCTGACAGCTTTCTATCCGAACCAGCATGAAGCTTTAGCTTTGTTGGATCGGACCACACAGACCAGGCTTCAGTCCTCACATGCATCGGCCTCCACGGCCCCGTCGCTGCTTCACCGCTGTTCCTTCTTTGCACCATAAAAACTGACCCCTGCAGACACAGAGCTGCTGTTTTGGAGACGTTCTGACCCAAACTGGCTCGTAGCCTCACACTCGCCCATTTTTCTGCTTCCAACATCAACTTTGAGGACAAAATGTTCACCCGCTCCCTGACAGGCCCCGCCCACTAACAGGTGCCGTGATGGGAATCCGTGTCATTGGTGTTACCTGTCAGTGCTCATAATGTTGGATCAGTTTTGGCCTAAATATGTTCGGAGCCTGACTGCAGGTAACCTGAGCCGACTGGACGCACCTGTGTTTGTAAGACCACAGAGTGTCAGGACAAAACCAGCCGCCATGTTCAACAATATTTCACCTGATGGAAGGACAGGATGTCACTTCCTGTTCCTGTGGGACTTTCATCTCCTTTTTTATCATCATCAGCAGAGAAAGATGTTCTATGGGGAGCTCGGCTGAGAGTAGTCGGGTTTTCTTCAGAGTAACATCAGATGTTTGGTATCGATGATACTGCAGCAGCCACCTGTGTCTCCCTTTGATAAACAGTAATCCAGGCTCAGGTACAGCGGCTGCACCTGCTGCTGTGAGGCCACAGGTGTACCTGTGCACGTTAGCCCGCTGACACGGTTAGCTGCACTAGCATGTTAGGCTGGCAGCCTGAGGATCAGAGCAGCAGCATGGTAGCGTTTTGTTAGCATGTACTGTTAGTGCTGCAGTGTCTCTGAGGAGGAAGGCCTGTGTGTGTGTGCGTGTGTGTGTGCATGTGTGTGTGCATGTGTGTGTGCATGTGTGTGTGCACGTGTGTGTGCGTGTGTGCGTGTGTGTGTGCGTGTGTGTGTTGAGTCTAAGTGTAGATAAGAGTGTGTGACTGTGTTTCTAAAGCTCTGCCTTGGTTCTATCCCTCTGCTGTCCAGGGGATCCAGGTAACACCTGCCCGCCTGTCACGTCCTCTTCATCGTGTTCGCATTTCATGGAAACGTTTCAGTGCATTTTCGTCCTGTTTGGTCACTTTCATCTCTCCGTCATGCACCACTTCTCTTACAGCTTCGGCGCCTCGATGAACCGTTCGCAGCACTGAGCGATAACGTCTCGCTTCAATCGCTAAAAACTAACGTTTATTTGCCCACGAGGAGCCTGCGCAGACCCCACGGACCCACGTCCAAACCAGTCGTGCTGGAGGACGATGCTGTGGTGGTGGACCTGCCCTCGTGGGCTCTGACGGTTTGGTCAGAAACGTGCTCATGAGTAACCTGCAGGGAGATACAGACGGTCCGTACCATCCTGGAGGAGCTGACGGGGGTGCACCACCACCTGCTAATCTATTTCCTTTTTGGGCTAGTCTCATTGTTCCAGTGC